CTGCAGATGGAAACTGAGGTCAGAGTAAAAAGCCTTGTGGCTGGGGCTTTCATGAGAGATGTGGAAGACCCTTGTACAGACAACTTGGAGTTGTGCAGAACAGGGGCTCGACCACAGGACAAACGTGTCCCTGTAACCTGAATACGGCTGCAGAAGCAACCATGTTGTGGTCCATCTGTGCCTACTTGCTAAGACAAAGTGGAACAGCTCTTCGGGGATGGATTCATTCATAGCCTGATGTTCGGAAAAGCCGTGGTTACCCAGACTAAAAAGCTAGGTATCTTTTTGATCAGTACAAGCCTGAAGCTGTGCCTCCTGCATTGTGGGGGGAAGACCTCAGGCTTGTCCCGCTGTCTCCTGCTGCTGCTTTTCCTTACCTGTATCCTGATGCAGAATGAAAGAAGGTTTTATGAAAATATTTTTATTCATGTCTTCTAGGTTCCCCTACCAAAATAACAAAGCTTTTAGGAAATATGACTTTTTAATCAGCTAGACATAATTCTTCAAACTATTGTTGACCTCCTTTCAATAAAATTCAAAGACAAAAGTAGTCATAGGAAGGATTGGATTAATACTTGAATAAATCAACTCTGAAATACTCACCTAGCATTAATGTCTAGTTCTGGGCAGCACATGGTATTCTGACAGGAAACCTAAAGACGGAAGAACAAAATCTATTGGCTCTTCCAAAGCATGTTTCAGATTTTATTTTACTTTTTGGTTTTATCCAGGAAGGGGTTTTTTTCTCCTTTTTCCATGCTGTAGGCTTCGACCTGCCACTACTGTCCAACAGATACTGTTTGTCATCTCTGTCTTTCCTTCTAGGCTTACCACATTGCATTCATTGCTAAATGGAGGAAGCTGAGGCTGGATGTGATTCTTTGTCCTGTGCTGGGACCAGCCTTTAACCATGGCTATGCTGGGAAGCTATTTGGTAATCTTTGAGGTGCCTCTGGATGCATCCATGGTGTGGTGTTTGTGGGCAGAGCTGGAGCAAGATATTTTGGTCTCTTGGACATGCCCCAAACCATGTGCGGTGCTTGGTCTTCCCTCTGGGGAAGAAAGCAAAGTGGAGATCTCCCCTGGGTGGATCTTCTCATGCACCCACTTCATCAGGTGTTTGGATTATTATAGGGCAGCAATTAGTGGCGCATCTGTCCCAGTCATTCATGGGCGAGTTTCCCCTGCATGTAGAAAGCCGAAGAGCTACTCCTGCAGCAGAAGGTGGCTGTGAAGAGAGTTGTCAGAGGGGTGGTGGACCTTAGTAGAAGGCCAAGCTCTTCTGAATGCGGCCATCTTACATTACCAAAGACTCTGTAAGCAGCAGAAAAGCTCATTGCCTGTGACTTGCAGACAAGGCAATTGTTTTATAGCTTCCAGCAAACAGTCAGGGTCCTCTATCTCTCTGGCAATGGCCCTTTGGGATCCTAAATTGACAGGATGGTGTTACAGAACCGGATATCTGGATTATCTTGAAAAAGTGGCTGGGATTTTTCCCTGGGGTACGTGAGACATAGATGCAGACTGTGAATCAGATCAAATACTCTCATCTGCCTCTCCCAGAGCAGATCTAACCTCCAGCTGACTGATAGGTAAGGGATGGGTCTCCCTCTGTTCTCAGCAGCCATGTGGCAGCCATGTGAGCCTGTGGCTCAAACTTCTCCATCAAAAGTCCCTTTGAAAGCAGCATGTTTTCGTGGTCTCCTCACATCCAGCAACTCGAGTCTGCAATTTGTGCAACCCAGATTATCATCTGACTGTCATTGCTGGCCCAGCACACTAAATTTTGCCATTCTGCATTCTCTGTGTGATCTCTTCCAGCTGCGACCTCCTATACCAATTTATATAATGTCTTAAGACTTCCCTGCTGGGGTGGTGCCGGTCAGCACGGTCACAAGAGCCGATGAAGACGAACTGAAGCCTTACCGAGGGCACTATGGAGACCCCTAGGATAAGAGGCTGAAAGAGGTCAGTGGGAAAAGATCTTAAGTGTCAGCTGAAGGTTATGACTGGCACAGTGACATCTTTGGTACATTGTCCTGAGGCTTGTCTACATCTCCTGATGAGAGTGGGACCTTGTTTAGTAGTGCAGTTTGTATACACCTTGCATGTGGTGCAGGTAGGCTGCTGTACATCAGCCTTACGATACCCCTTGTATGTCTTTTCCTATAATGTCATAAAGTCACAGAATGGTTAGGGTTAGAAAGGACCTTAACATCTTCTAGTTCCAACCCTCCCCGCCACAGGCACGGACACTTTCCACTAGAACAGGTTGCTCAAAGCCCCGTCCAGTGTGGCCCTGAACACTGTTAGGGATGGGGCAGCCACAACAACCCTTGGAAACCTGTTCCAGTGTCTCACCACTCGCACAGTAAATAATTTCTTCCTTATATCTAACCTGAACTTCCCCTGTTTTAGTCTGAACCCATTACCCCTTGTCCTACCACTACAGTCCCCGATAAATGTCCCTCTCCAGCATCCTTGTAGGCCCCTTTCAGATACTGGAAGC